ATTAGTCGATCGATCTTTATGATACTGACTGAAAACCAAATGTTTTTAATAATACTGACTAAATTCAATGAATTAATGATTGATTGAATGACTGAATGAATTAATGAATGAATAAATAAATAAATCAATCAATCAATACATCAATTAGTCAATCAGTCAGTAATAGTAAATAATAATGATAATTTATATATTGTGCATTTTAAACAAGCTGTTCAATCAATCAATCAATCAAACAATCAATCAAACAACAACAACTATAATAATAATAATAATAATAATAATAATAATAATAATAATAATAATAATTTATGTATAACACATTTGACATTAATACAAACTGTTTAATCAATCAGCCAGTCAATCAGTCGATCGATCGTTAAAAATCAATACTGGCTCATATCATATCGATTGCATTTACAGCAAAATAAAAAAGTAGGCATGATAAAATATACGACAATTATTATTGCAGACTGCTGATCTCAATCATGTTTTAAATCGTTAACTGTATTTGTTCTGTTTAGTTTTCGTTTGCCACCTTTCTCGTATTAATGGAGAAGAACCAATTACTAGGTCTGCCTTGTACAACATGCCATAGGACGACTAAGCTTAAGACTATATTATTATTATTATTATCATTATTATTATTATTATTATTATTATTATTATTATTATTATTATTATTTTTATTATTATTATTATTATTATTATATGATTATATTGTTATTATTGTGATCATTCATCATCCTCATCATTATCATCATCATCATCACATCCACACAAAATCTATAATGTTAAATTATCAGCATCTCCATATTTGCTACATCAATATTACCGTCTCAACCCTTACAATATGACAACAGTAATCGAAAATGGTAAATAATAATAGACCCATATAATGGATAACTGATAATGGACAAATAATATGTAAGTGTTTTTGGAAAATATAGTAAAACCCTTCCTTTGGGACACCACTATGAAGGGACACCCCTATTATGGGGACATTCTTTTCACTGCAAAGCGAGAGAAAGTATATCGTTTAAAACTACGACCAATCCCTATCCAGGGGACACCCCTAGAAGGTCTCCCACTAAGGAATCTACTGTAGCCGAACCGTTATTTCCTGAAAAGGTTTTTTTCTGGGCTGCAGGTAGTCTTTAAAGGAAATATTATTCAGCGTGTCTCAGACTTCATAAGTTGCAAAACTGATGTCATAGCTGTATAAGACAGCATAATACATACTCCAAGTATCGAAATGCACGCCATCGTGTCGGGATAGCTGTATAATGTTTAATAGAATGTGCTTGTTAATGAAGTTTCCGCCGTGCATCGTTTTTTAATAATTTGATTGTTTCGCAATTGTGTTTGTTTTTTTCGCAATTGTTTTCACACGTACTGAGTTTTCAGTACATTTCCACGTCAAGTAGGGCAAAATTACACATATACATGTTTCTCCTGACGCAAATCCAGTTATTGTCTTCGCCATCACGACAATAACAATTACTATCAACACTGCAGTACCCGCTGATTATTTTGACTCGAATTCAACCCTGGCCATCAGGCGCAAGCTCGGTAGTCTAGAGGTATAATGCCAGGCTAGTGATCTGAAAATCGTGGGTTCGAGTCCCACCCGCGATTTTTTCGCAATTGTTTTCAAACGTACTGAGTGTTCAGTACATTTCACGTCAGGTAGGACAATATTACACCTTTACATTTTTATTATTATATTTATTATCATTATTATTAGTCTATTATCCTTTAGTATCGTCTGCATTTTTGGTAGCTTATCTAAAACTAACAAAAAGTATCTTGAACGTGTTAGGAAATCTGCCGGACGTTGTATTGGTGTTGACTTATCAACAGCTGAAAGCACTTAGGAAAAATGGAAATGTAAAACGAGAATGATAATGGAAGGTCTTACACACGTATTAAACAACAATTATGTAGTTAGTAAGTCCAGCTTTAGATTGAAAGTTTCGATAAACCAACACGTAAGGTATACAGAAAATAATTTATTCCGACTCTCTCCATATAACTCGACAGTGAAACGAAACGCTCTACTTTAATAACTTATTTAGGGGCACTTTAAGCATTAACGAATTCTGTAGATTGAAATGACAACAACAATGAACGGTGATTTGTAGCCCAATCCCGTTACTTATTAATTTATTGAATTCAGAGTCGTAACTGTTTTTTGAAAAGAATATCTTCCTCAATCTCCAAAAGGAGCAGCAGTGCACCTTTTTTTCTCAAAAACGTTGCAGTCCGATTTTTTCCCTTTTTTTTCTCGTGCAATTTCATAATTATAATAATGTATTTGTTTTTTCTTGATGATCTGAATAAAGATTGTAAACCTACTTTTTAAGACAGTTAACAAAATTTAAGGTGGACTATACTATCCTTATAATGTTTTATCAGGCTATAATACAGAGTATATTATCAGTTAACATCGTCTGCATTTTTTGTAGCTTATCTAAAACTAACAGAAATTGTCTTGAACGTGTTAGGAAATTTGCTGGACGTTGTATGGGTGTTGACTTTATCAACAATTTAAAGCACTTACGAAAAAATGGTAATAGGTAAAATGAAAATGATAATGGAAGATCCTACACACGTATTAAACAACAATTAATTTGTAGTTAGTAGGTATGGCTTTAGATTGACAGTTACGATAACTAAGGTACAGCAAATCAGTTATCCCGGCTTTCTCCATATGTATAACCCGACAGTGAAAGGAAACACTCTACTATAATTATTTATTTAGGAAAAATTCAAACAATTACCAATTCAGTAGAAGTGCAATTATCAACAATGACCGGTAATTTGATATATACATTTTATAAAATGTCCAATTCAATGCAATAATTTTTCATTCAATATTCAACTTACTTAATTGATTTTAATTCAATCTTAATGTATGAATTCTTTTAAAACGCTTTTAAATAAGGATAGTTTTAATAATTTTCTTTCTTACTTTTAACGGCTAATATGTTAACTTAATTCAATTATATATTTATTTTAATCTGAACTTTTAAATTTTCAACTATTAAAAAAAATAATCTCTTAATCTTTAATGTATAAATGTCTATAGATCAACTTTTTATTTATGATAAAATATATAACGATACCACAGAATATGTACTTAGGTTTTAATGAGTCTGTTACATGTATTTTGTCTAATTTATATGAGCTTTGTTAACGCAACAAATTTTCTCTTGAACCAATAAAGTGTTCAGTATTCAGTATTGAATTAATAAATATTAAGAATAATGATAGTAATAACAACATTTAATAATTTTATATATTTGTAATTTTATTGCAATCGGAATTTCGTCTTCTGTATTTTTTCATGTGCAATAACGTAATCATTCTAATTTATCTGTATTTTTTTATGAACTTAATATTTGAATTAATAATGAATGATAGCAATAATAATAATAATAATAATAATAATAATAACAATAATAATAAATAATTATCACGTTTAATATATTTACTATTTATGAATGTTTTTATTGTACAGTGCTTTTGTGCCTTTTAAGTATTTTTAATGTGTATTTTTTCGTTTGTTAATATAACGAAGTTGTTATATTCGGCAATTCTTATTATAATTCTAGAATATAGCCTACCATGAGAATGAATGAATTAATTAATCAATCCTGTGGCTTGGGATGCGAAATACAGCTAAAAACAAAAATAAATAAATAAATAAAATGAATTTTTCGATAGCAATAATACGACTTACAATATTAAAACTTATTATTTTATTTTAAAATATGTTAATTCTAAATTCGATTGTAAATTGTTTTCAAAATTCAATTTTTATCTCCCTTTCCGTAATATGCGTTGTTTTGATTTTTTTTTTAAAGTTAATTTCTCTCGAGTGAATATTTGTAAAAATTGGATTTTTTTTGTCGTGTTCCTTCTACACATAGGCCTAATACTTTAGTTTCAAATTTTCTTAATGTTAATATTTTTTATTGCTGCATTTCGGTTTTCAAAAGAATTATTAGTGATTTCATTTCGGTGTGTATGCGATTTTTTTTATATATGTTAATTCAATTTTAAAATATTTAAGCTTAACTTTTTTATATTTTATTTTTGTTAACATATGTATTTTATTACAACCTGGTTTTGGTGTTTTTTAAGACTGTTAGTTGTAAAATAAAAAACAAGAATACCCTTTATATAGCCGGAGTTAGTTTCGACCTAGGCAAACTTTGCTGAAAAGGTATACTTTCTCCATCAAAAGGCTTCTTCGAAGAATGGAATGACCTGTTCGAAGCACGAACTCCTGTAGATTAAACCCAATACCGTTACGGTTGTTTAATCGTACGGGAAATCTACTCATCATGATGCATTCTGATATATAAGTGAATGAACTGTATTTGCACAACAATAACCATCGCTATTATAAGTAGCGAAGGCGATGACAAGAAAACAAAAGTCAAGTTGACGTATTTTGGGAATATAATTTATTAAACACAAAAATATGCCAACTTGACTTTTTTTTATTGTCATTGTCTTCACTACGTTATTTATTATGGAACAACTTGCTACATCATTTCACAATGATACATCTTAACACACACACACACACACATATATATATATATATATACACTTGTATATATATAA